GGAGAATTACTATAGCTCGCCGAGTCAGGTAAAAAGACATTCAGACCCTTGTCACTCTTTCAGGTAAGACTAATCCCGTGAGAGAGCGTCAGGATTTACTTGAACTTAATTTTCAACGACCGAATTCATTATTTAAGATTTCCACTAAAAGCAAGTACTCAGAAAGATTTTAGGGGATTATAAATGAATATAGATTGTATGTAAGGTAGCTGTGACTTACAAAACACCTTTAAGGCAAGAAGTAACTCTCTATTCTACCTTCTCGACTAATTGTTAAAATCTCAATTTGCCACCATTCAGACAAATAACTAAATTAGGCAAAAAGTATTCTGTTCCCCGCTGTTGCCAGGAGGTTGAGCCCAAACACATCAAACGTGTAATTTGTCCAGAAGAAACGCATACAGAGCTCTGATCTTACAGGGAAAGAAGGCAGGAACGTTTATAACAGTACCTTTCATTCCTTAGTAACAAACGTGGCAAAATAGGACTTTTGTCCACGACAGCCTTAAGAGGGGGACTTACTGGTCAGGAAATTTGTAACAAAAACGTTCCCAACAGATTATGTATTTTGTTAGCTGGCATCAAATAAAAGGACATGGCACCGAAGCCGCAGACCAGATTTTCCAATCGACCAGGACTCAGACTGTTTCTCTGAGTCTAATTGTGTATTTTTGAGAATTTCGGCACAGTGAGAGATACATTGAGAATCTTTACGTGTTTACTGCCCTGTTAAGAGCGAGTCAGGTGTACGTAGTCGACCATGGGGAAGTTATCCATGATCCTACTGCCCGTTCTTGTTATTGCCGCGGCAGCGCGTGCTCCGGCAGAGCAGGAACGTTGCAAGACTTGGTCACAACCAGGAGACATTCTCCCAGACTGGTCAATGGCACAACTACGTTACGACGGCTGCAGGTAGGCGTAGAACTCTACCGCTACCATATCAACTTTTGAAATTCAAGTGTTTGTTAGCATTATCATTTTTGTTGTATATTGTGAAATTGTTAACGTCAACTAGATTTTCAAACACGAATAAATGAATATCTTCGTCGGTGACTGGAAAGGCCAGTTTCTCAGTCACTATCAACAATGGCCTGATGCAAATATCTGAGTCTGATTTACCTATGCTGGAATTAATTGAAAGTTAGGGTGTGAAATAATTCAGTATATTTCTAAAAGCATTTTGGTGCAATCAGAATTTCTCCTTTTTTAATTACAGATTGTCCTGGAAGAATTCCCACTTCTTCTAGGACAAATTGGAACTCCAATCTCCCCTAGGAGAATCTGGAATCCTCCTAGGAGAGATTGGAATTCAGATATTTAGATCCCAGTTCAGAAGAAGAAAAACTTGAATGCTAGTCTCCCCGAGGGGAGTTAGGAATTCCAATCTCCCCTAGGAGAATTCCAGTTTCCCCTGGATTCCAATCACTCCTGTGACATATACAAGAAACACCAATCATCAAAAGTTATAATATACTTACTGTACCTTTCGAACAAAATGCCCGCGATGCAGAGGTCAGAAAAGGGCAAAATACGAAGACTTGTTGAATGAAATCCACAGTCAAAGCACCTACCAAGCTACTCTTGTAACGATTGAAGTAGGGAGTGGGTAAGTGGGAAAACACCTAGAAGTTAAGATCGCTATGTGTTGTTAACCACAAAAAGACAGGGAAGTACGTCACATGAAAAGCAGACTGAACAAATGTGCAATATGTACCTCGTATGTCATACGAGGTGCAAGACATACTGTTGGTTGGGACAAACTCATGGGACTGTTCTCATGCTGTAAGTAGCTTGCTAAACGAGGAAGTGCAATAGTCAGCCAGTGCAATTTATTGATGTATACGTTTTATTATATTGAGTAGACCTAATGAAACACAATTTTCAAACTGCAGTTTCGGCGTCCAGTTAGTCCGACGCACACATACTTACCTTGCGTCCTGTGAGTTTATATCATTAACTCATATTAAAGGATTGACCTAGGTGTTGTATCTGTTCGTCTTGTATGTTTGCCAAAACTTATTAATTAAGATGATTTTAACTCACTGATTTTGTAACAACAAAGCTAGCAGGGACCCACAGCAAAAGTATAATTTTCTAAGATTGTGACATTTTTGTATGAACGTTTGTTAAGCGAAGATCAAAACCCGCTGTACATGCAATTGCGTGCTGTTTATATGCAAAAAGGTGGGCCAATTTTGGGATGGGCGAGTACCGCCTCTGTATGGAATCCTACGGAATCCAACGGATTTGGGAGCACGCTGACACGCCGTAGCACTTTGCGCCTATGTAGAACTTTGGTTCGGGCTGCGGATTCAACCCTGTATGAGCCAGTACGGGCGACACGCGTGCTGTACGTACCGCATGTAATATAAGCAGCAGGTATAAGTACGGGCTGCATATCAGATACGGTGACGTGGCAATCGCTCAGAGATCGTTCGCTGTAATTTATTTTTGTCCGTAAGTTTTTTTTTTTTTTGAGGGGATGTCGCCGCTTTTTTTTCTGAAAACGTGGGGGAAAACTGGCAAGAACAGGGAGGGGGTACGTCAGCGGTACGTTACTTATATTAATTAATTAATTAATTAATTACAAGATTGCGGAAGGCTAAGTACATGGTCATCAAGCCATGTCTGGTCGTAAGCGGTTGCGTGCATCGTTCGTTGCGAGTTATACGTGCTTACAATGCACGGTCTTTGTGAGATTGCCACGTTAAGGTTTGGTCCCAATTGGAAAATCTGGACCTGGCGGGAATTTAACTCTGACTTAAATTCTACCCGGGCCCCGTTGACATAAAGATGCCGTGACCGAGCCGTGAGAACACTGGAGGTAGCCCTCCGGTGGCCGACAGTCCACTGGCACTAATATGTTACGTCTTCTGCATGAGTGATTGTTGTCTGAAAGACTCAGGGGAAATAATTAAGTGAGAGTAAATGATCCAGTAGGTACAACAGAGAGTTGTTTTGTAAGTCACAGCTACCGCACATGCAATCTCTATTTACTTTGCTATTCAAGTCGGGTACTGTTGAAATTACCTCTTTTCATCGATTATAATTATTGTTAAATTCCTGTCCTTTACCTTATAATCCCCTAAATCTTCCTCGATCATGAATATTGGTTTTAGTTCATCTAATAGTAATGTCTAACCTGAGAGCTCGCCAAGTCAGGTTAAAAGACATTCAGACCCTTGACACTCTATCAGGTAAGACTAATCCCGTGAGACTCATGATTTACTTGAACTTAATTCCAACGACCAAATTCATTACTTAAGATCTCCACTAAAAGCAAGAAAAATTTTAGAGGATTAAAATAAATAGAGATAGTATGTGAGGTAGCTGTCACTTACAAAACAACTTTAAGGCATGAAGTAACTCTTTATTCTACCTTCTCGACTAATTGAGAAAATCTCAATTTGCCACCATTCAGACAAATAACTAAATTCAGCAAAAAGTTGTCTGTTCCGCGCTGTTGCCAGGAGGTTGAGCCCAAACACATCAACGTGTAATTTGCCCAGGAGAAACACTTACAGAGCTCTGATCTTACAGGGAAAGAAGGCACAGTTTATTAAGACGTCCATTTCAACAAGAGGAACGTTAATAACAGCACCTTTCATTCCTAAGTAACAAACGTGGCAAAATAAGACTTTTGTCCACGACAGCCTTTAAGAAGGGAAATTACTGGTCAGGAAATTCGTAACAAAAACGTTCCCAACAGATTACGTATTTTGTTAGCTGGCTTTAAACAAAAGGACATGGCACCGACGCCGCAGACCAGATTTTCCCATCGACCAGGACTGATCAGATTGTTCTTCTAAGTCTAATTGTGTATTTTGGAGAAATTCTGCACAGGGAGAGATACATCGAGAATCTTTGCGTGTTTACTGCCCTGTTAAGGGGAGTCAGGTGTACGTAGTCGACCATGGGGAAGTTATCCATTATCCTACTGCCCGTCCTTGTTGTTGCCGCGGCAGCCTAAAATCCGGTACAACACGACCATTCCAAGACTTGGTCACAACCGGGAGACATTCTCCCAGACTGGTCAATAGCACGACTTTTCTAGGGGACGTTCTTTTTTTTTTGTTGAGGCAACGTCCGCCACGTTTTTTTTTAACGTGGAGAACAACTGGCAAGAACACGGATGGGGTATGTCAACGCACGTTACATACACGGTTGCGGAAGGTTAAATACATGGTCATCAAGCCACGCCTCGCAATGAGCGATTGCGTGCATCGTTCGTTGCGAGTTATACGTGCTTACAACGCATGATCTTTGTGCGAATTGTGGCCCAGGTGGGAATTTAACTCTGACTTAAATTCTACCCGTGCCCGGGCCCCGCCAACATAAAGACACCATGACAGAGCCGTGAGAACACTGGGAGGTACCCCTGCGGTGCCTACAGTTCACCGGCACTAATTTCTTACGTCTTCTGCGTCTTACGTAGCCTGGGTACCATCCTACTTATATATGCAGGGGCTCCCACACTCGCTTCCCTAACAAATTAGGGAAGCGAGCGTGGGAGCCTCGGCATATAAGTAGGATGGTACCCAGGCTACGTCTTGCTCCTTTTATATTCCTGAATATTTGAACTATATTCTGGAAATTCGTATTACATGCCAAGTACTTGTGCCCGTTCGTGTGGTTGTCCCGAATATTTTGAGCATGTGCAGGTGAATTCGAGATGAAAAAAAATATCGATGGGCATTCAGCAATAAGTATTTTTTTATCTATATCAACATTTATTACAAGACATGGCAATGACACACTCAACTTTTTTAATGCCGCCACCAACGCAGACAAACGACGGACAACGGACGTACCCATTTTCACCTGAGTTAAGCTTCGGTCCCCGGTGTCCGTCGGGGATGTAGCCCCGGCCGAGCTCTGGGGTCTGCTGGGCACCGGCTGTCGTGGTCACAATTAAAAATTGCGTTCACGCTGCCCTGTAGGGGTGCCAGGGGGCTCCCTCATTGGTCGGCCTCCGGTGGGAACCCGGCAGATGCTCTGACGATGTCTTGTAGTGACCCCGGTGGTGTCTGACATGGTAACGCGTGCTTCTCAGATCCGGGTGGGGCAGTTGTAGGACCCTGCTGCATGCCCACGAACGACGGTTAGGCATTATGGAGTCTCTTGGTGGGCATTTCTCATATTTCGAGTTTACATATTAAATAAAAGCTGCTTGGATCATTTATATTTACTTAGTACCTGCTCAGAGATAACTGCACGTGTCTTATAGACAACAATCACGGACGCGGAAGATGCAGAAGAAGAAGTAACAAATTAGTCCCGGTGGACTGTTGGCCACCAGAGGGGTACCGGTCATGGCGTCTTTATATCAGCAGGGCCCGGGTGGAATTCAAGTCAGATTTAAAATCTTACCGAGTCCCGGATGGGCCAAAAAATAGCTAGGTGGCCGCAGGGTGTCCCACGGGGCCACGTAGGGGTCACGCCCGAACACGGCCAGAAGTGGCGTGCAGACCACATACTTACACTTTGCGCAACCGTAATAGTGACGTGCGTTGACGTACTGCTCATGCAAGTTCTTCCCCACGTTTTCAGAAAAACGTAGTAGACGTGGCCTCCCAAAAAACGTACGCACAAAAAGCACACACGGCGGTTGTGACCGACGCTTTACGGATCCCCAAAATTTTACCCACGTTTTTGCACGTAGACAGCACACAGTTGCATACGGCGGGTTACGCCCCTCGCTTTCAGACAGCTGAATGTTGTGAACATACCTACAAACTCCTTCAGTTTGCGAAAGTACGACGATCTTAAATGTGACCGGATCCATAGCGAAAATCTTTGTTTTCATTTATGCTAATGATAAGTTTTTCAGCATATTGTTACATGCGTCGGTTAATCCATGCCTTTTACCTGAACTATTTTACCCCGTCAATTTGAACATATAGAATGAATTTGCTGACTGAACCTGTGTCTAGAAACTGTGCATTTTTATTTAGTTATATATATATATATGCAGACTCTATGCGGAATTTGAACCGAAGGATTTGTCTGGTAAGATGTGTGAAGAGAAGGGGGAACTCCGGGACGTGCAACTGACTGACTTTTACGACAAAAACTACCAACAAGTGGAGAATAAAGGTAAGGTTAAACCAGACTTAGTAACAACATCACAGGCGATATTCTAGCGATACATCTATTAACATAACGTCTATCAACAGACCTTTAACGTTACCTGTAATGCGTTCCATCTCCCGAACCAACTCGTTAAACCTGTGCCCGTTGGTTTGGGCACCTGAGCTCAATGGTAATAGGTACAGGGTTTTAATTCGCACAGGCGCAGGGGGGCCATTTCTGAGCGCATACAAACCTGGTTGAAAACAGTCTGATTCTTGGTATATGTTGATCAATATTTTCATTTTTCATCTTGTTTTTTTTCCTTTTCATCTTGTTTAAAAAAAGTCTTTTAGGATTGTTTGAGCTGCCCGGTAGAACTATAAAAAAGTTGCTCTGTTTGCCTAAATGTGGTCTGACACTATTGGTCAGATAACGATTCGTTTGTTTTGAAAATGCAGCGTGTGTAAAAAGTACAGAAATTTAGCTCTAAATATACAATTCAGGGAGCGACCTTGTCAGTGTTTTTGTATGGTCTAAACCACAGGTAGGTGATTTTTGATTTAACTTATGCCTCTATGGGAGATAGTGGTCTGTGCCCTAGTGCATTTTGTACATGCGGGCGATCTTCGAATCCGTTTTATGCTCATGATCAGTCACGGTAACTCCTATAGTAATCAGAGATCATACTTACTTGGTAATTCTATCAACTTAACTTATCTGGCAATGTAAAACTTTGAATTCAGAAGATGTCTATCATTAGGTTATATATATATATATATATATATATATATATATATATATATATATATATATATATATATATATATATATATATATATATATATATATATAGTAGTAGTACGTA